ATAGTACATATACTATATATATTATTAATTAGTAGTANATTATATATATATATATATATATATATATATATATATATATATAAAGAGAGAGAGATTATCTACAAAGAGTCCATTTATCTTTTATGCATGGAGCACGAAAAGTTCAAGAATTTTTTTTTTTGGAACTTTGTGTCTATTGAGTGACACTCTTACAATTATCCATTTTGATATTTAAGGGACAAGACGGTGACCTCCATGTACAAACAAATGGTCTCTCTGTAGCAATCCCATATATATATATATATATAGAGGAGAAGTTTTCAGAACGCCTATGGGCGAAATTAAACAGTGATTTTGCCTACTCTCATGACCGTCCAAAATTCATCGTACGGTTACAATTGTCTGGTAGTGTTTTATTTTTTATTTTTTTTTTACAAATTGGAATGAGTTGAAATTTAAAGCGTGTGTTCATTAAAAATAGGCGAATCTCCAAAAAAATATATAAAAAATAATTCTTGAAAAATAAATTGACCAAAATACCCCCAAAACTTTTCGGGGTTTTGATCAAATTTTTTCATGTAAAATATTTTTTTGATATTTTCCCTAGATTCGCCTATTTTTAGATTCGCCTATTTTTGATGAACACACGCTCTAAATTTCAGGTCATTTGGATTTATAGAAAAAAAATAAAAAAGAATAAAACACTACCGGACAATCGTGATCGTGCGATGAACTTTGGACGGTAATGAGGGTAGGCAAAATCACTGTTCATTTTCGCCTATAGGCGTTTTGTAGTATCTTCCATATATATATATATATATATATATATATATATATATATAGTAAAATACATTTTGCATTTTCTTATTTTGTATCTTTGTTATTTTGTTCCTTTTTTGCAATTTTTCCTGGCTTTGGTCAACTCAGAATTTTAAAAGAGATACCCAAAAATACGAATATTGAAGACTACCAGAGCCACTATCTCATTGGGAAACCAAATGAGAAAAAGTAAAGGTAAAATCTTCACTGGGAAATCTAGAGGAGGAGATTTGTAACATTCCTTGTAGTACGTACTTAAATAGAGAATTTCTCTTGATATATTGTTTTCTCAAAAGAAATGTTGGTCATTTGGGACAAACTGGGAGATGTATGCAGCCTTTTTCAGTTGGAGCAATAGTAGTCTTGTACCATGGATTAAGAATGGATAATTACCTTCAAAGCCTATCGGTGAATAGTTCTCTAGAAAATCAGCTTGTCTTTATAAAATTAATGAAAGAAAATTTCAGATTTTGTCTTTTGATTTTTCTGTGAACAGATTTCTTTATTTCCGTTGTGGTTTTACCTTACTTTTCATTAGTTTAAAAGAAAGGCACAAGCTCATCCTTTATATCTCATTTCTCAACTTTCATGTCTTAGTTTCTGTTGATAATATGAATGCAGGTAGTGAGTTTGAGATAAATAAAATGCCTTCTCTAATTTTCATGATGTGTTGATACTTTTACCCATTCTACACTTTGCAGTATTGAAAGATTTGAAGTATGCTGATACTCACGAATGGGTAAAGGTTGATGGCTCTTCTGCTACTGTTGGAATTACTGATCATGCTCAGGTTCTTATCTTTCACATTCTTACCAAAAGTGGTAGTTTTTCTAATTTATTTTGGATTTTCAGTACTGGAAGCCTCGGAATGGGTGACAAACACAAATCTATCAGAAGGTTTTGCTCTTGTATGTCTCAAAATCAAACCCTAGAATGGGTAGCTGCTTATATTTTCTCTTGGGATCCTAGGGGAAGCCTGCTATAATCTGTTGAATACGGCAAACCATTGTTTATTTGGGTCATCACCATCCAATTAAATGGTGGGGAGTGATGGGGAGAGTGTGTATCTATCCTGTTTTACTGGGTCCCACTCTCTCTCTGTCACTTTCCATCATTTTCATTGGATGTTGAGGACCTCAATGGACTATGGTTTCCATAGTCCAATGTATTGTAGTATTATTCTCCTTATTTTTATCCTAGTATTTAATGCTGCTTCTATTTTGTCATAAAAATTGTGCAGATGACTACCATAATCTTCGTGTCACCATGTTGAAATTTTTTCACTTTCTAATAATATATGTGCCACTCCTGGGTACTCACTTGTTTGCTACTTCTCAATTTCAGGACCACTTGGGAGATGTTGTTTATGTTGAATTGCCTGAAGTTGGAGCAACTGTGACAAAAGGTGACAGTTTTGGAGCAGTAGAGAGTGTTAAGGCGACCAGTGATGTTAACTCACCTGTTTCGGGGAAAGTAGTGGAAGTCAACGGCGAACTCAGCAGCTCTCCTGGTCTGGTGAGTTGAAATTTTAATGTTATATAATGTGGTTATGCCTTTCAATGTGAATGAGGATCCTCTATTATTTTACTGATCCAAGGCAGATATTCTTGCTATGTTAAGCAAGCTACATAACTTTGATTCCCATTTGCATAATGATTTTGTAGCAGGATTACTATCTGAATCTTATGTAGGTAAAGAGATGACTGTATGACTACGGCCTAGGGATGAAGTAACTTTGTATTTCTGATTTATTAGTACTGTCCAGTCATCATGCATCCATCATCATAGTTTTCAGCTATCAGTATTTCTGTATGTGAACGAGAATCTGAATTGCAAGTAGTTTATAATTATTATTATTATTTTTGTTAATTGCATGTGCTGCATCCCTAAATGGTCTAGCTGCCTAGTGAAATAGGAGGTGGCATAATTACCCATTAGAAAAGGTAAGGATGTTGGTGCGGATGTGCTGTAGTGGGCCATAGTTCTAGTACCTACTCAAGTAATACTCACAGTCAAGATTCATGGAGTAATTTAGAGGGCGTTTAGATGATATTACTCTTGTGTGTTTAAGAAATGCAAATGAAGAAACTTTCATAAAGAATCCACTATGTATTGTGTTACGAAAACATCAATCTAGCTGTGAAACATTTCTTATGACTGAATCACTGCATATTTGTTTGTTATAAAGCCACACTTGCATATACATGTGGCTCACTAATGTTGAACCACACGGAAAATCTTAATGCCTGTGGAAGTTTGATATGTTCTACTTGAGTATCGCACTTCTAGCTGTGGGGCAATTGTTAACTCTTGGGACTTCTGTGAATATAGTGGGCAACTGGAAAACATGTCTAGGGATGCAACTAGCAACGAATTGTATAGAAAATTAATTTGGAAAATAGACTGTTATTTATTGTTGGGGAAGTCTTGGTCTTATTCTTAAATTTTGTCTTCTCTTTTATTTCATTTGTTGGTGCAGAGCAATGCTGTTAAAATAAAACCTGACTGATCGGATTGATTTTGCTCATCCAACAACCACAATGCGCTAGTTCAAATCTTAAGACTGATAATTGAACTTGAAACTTTTCAACGTTCATACTGGAAAACTGGATCTTTTGAGGTGCTTCCTCGTAGAAGCAGAACCGACCTAATATGCATTCAAGATTAATGACTGTCTCTAAATTCAATATTTTTTATGCTGATCTAGCAGGAGCATGCATGCTTGTCATTTTTCCTAATTGTGGAGTCAATCATGCCTTGGCAAGGCATTTAAGTGCTGGCCAATTGGACAATTTTAGATCAAACAGGCATATTTTAATGAATCCATACACTCTGGGAATCATTGTTTAACTGCTGGATCAAAATAATCTTATGAAAAAAGGATTGGAGTGGCTCATTCAACCTGATTTTGACATGAATAGACCCATGTTGTAGGTCCTCCAATCGGGCATTAGGAATGGAGACCCATCATTCTCTGAACCGATCAGTTGAAAAGGATCAAGAATTGGGTCATGCACCCCCTTGAACCCACCAGTTGCACATTTTTTAGTGCAAAGTTGACAATTTCATTTGGGAGGCAAAACCAGTTGCACTTTTGACCACCACCTTCACCTGTCCTACCTGAAGCAGCAATTCAGGGAAGAATCTAGACATAAGGAATATTGCACAAATTTCATGTTTTCCTTCTTTGGACTAAGGGCGTTTTCCTTTCCAATAAAAACTATGTTTTCATGAAATCTTCATAGAAGGATAACATATTGTACTTTTTCCTTGCTAAGTTAGGATGTGGGACCTATGCCCCATAGCCAGAGGGCTATCTTAGATGCATTGAGAGACAAGATCAAGTCCCTAGTCATTTTCTGGGCAACCCACGGCAACCACTTCAAACATTTCTCCCACTCTTGAGTTTCACCTAAAGTGGTCTGCTTTGTTGACCCTTGGACCTCAGAATACCCCGTGCCTCCCTGTGGAGACCACCAGATAATGGCCTGATAAAACTCAATTTTGATGGTGCCCCCTCGGCAACCCAGGCCCCACAGGTATTGGTGGGTTATTTCGAGACAAAGACGGTATCATTCTCCATTCATACTCCCATCCCATTGGGATTTCCGAGTCTATCACTGCTATGTGGGAGTGCTTGGGGTTTATGGAGTGTGAGGATCAAAAGGCACCTGCACTCCAAGACATTGGGATAGAATTGGGCAGCATAGTTCACTGGGTTCTTTTCCAACATGGACCTCTGCTCACACAAATATCATTTCTTCCCCTTACACATCTTCAGAACATTGTTTTCTACTTGCCATGCTCCTCTTGAAACTGGCACGTGGTTATGAATAACCTTTTGCTGTGACAAACCCTCTTTATGTCTTTGGAAGTAATTACTTAACCACTGATTTCAATGTTCGCTCCATCGAGTTATTAAAGCGTGTGTGCAATTAAGGCTGAGCATGTGGTGATCAGAAAGACAACAAAGTAGTACTCGGCAAGTAGTGTTGAGCACTAAGAAATGGAAATATAAAAAAAAGCATGTGGTCTTGCGTTAGCGAACAACTTCAGTTTTTCTTTTCATTTTCTTTTGGTAAATTTTCAAATGTAAGCAATAATGACATGGTTTTGCATCTAGAATCTGTTGGAGGAGCCTCAAATGTTCTCAAAATTTTAGTCTTTTACCCTTGTTTGCATGTATGCCTCAAACAAGTTCTTATGAGAACATCTTGATGCTCTAGTCTCACAAATGTCGAAGTACTCGCGATTGGCTTCACAACATTGCTATATTATTTATTTTCTTGTATTAGTAATGCAGTATGGCCCCATGATTCTACTAAAAAATATGGAACTGAAGGGAATCTTAATAATCTGTTTCTCAGGTTAATGCAAGCCCTTACGAAGAGGGGTGGATCATAAAGGTGGAGATGAGCGATCCAGGTGAGGTGAGCTCCCTAATGGGTGCGGATCAGTACACTCAGTTCTGTGAAGAGGAAGATAATAAGCATTGAAATTAAGCGTGCTCGTATTATCGTGCTTGCTGCTAAATTTGATAGGGTTTCCTTTTGCGGCTTGAGTTAAAAGTTTTGAATGATCCTCTTATCCCAATTTTGGTGGGCATCGCATGCGTGCCTCCATATTTCCGGAGTTTCAAATAAAATTTGTTTCGCATTTCTGGAATTGTTAGCTCTTCTGGATTGTCATTGTAATTGAACTATTCATTTATGAGGTGCTTCTGTGTGTTTAATTTGCCAAAATAATCCGCAGTGACATTTTTTTTTAGTACCATTTGTTATAGATATCAAGGGGAGGATGCTCACTAAGGGATGGAGTGTCCCATGATATGTATGCCTTTGGGTAAGGTATAAAGCATCCATCTTTAAGGTGGATGAAAATTGGTGGTCCATCTAAAAACAAAGTGTAACTAACAGCAAGTGTAACTAACAGTCAAAATATATATTAAGAAAAAAAAAAATCGCATTCATGATCTCCATGTTAAAGATTATATACTCTCTACAAATTTGGATCAAATTATATTTATTGCCAAGCCGCACTTTTACAATATGCAGGCTGGCCACATAAAAACCGTGCCCTTATATATGTGCGTGAGGTTTGTATAGAGCTTAGGATCTAAACAATCAAATAAGAACCTATCTTCAAATGGTGTCTGAGAAATGTGGTTTTAATATTGGAAATCTTTGTAATGGCCTTAAAATATATTTTCATTTTTCTTTTATAAAGTTTAAAGCTGCAAAAATAGTGTAGATTGATAGATCTATGAAAACTTAACAATCTTGAAAATTGACCGTCAAAAAATATGTTACAAAATATATTATTTTCAAAAATTGAAATGCATTTTTTTTTTTCATGCCTGTGTATTTTGTGATGTCAAGATGGTCAATTTGAAGATATTTGGGAATCAAAACAACGTTTTCTGGTTAAAGTTTTTAGACAAGCTCTAATTTGATTGTTCAAAGCCTCGGCTCTATATAGACATTCCCCTTTTGATTGTTCAAAGCCTCGGCTCTATATAGACATTCCCCTTTATTATATTTTGTGTGTTTCAAAACAGTTGTATTTTGGATTATTTTTTATGCTTTAGCTCATGTCGTCATGATAATCCTATTTTGTGTAGTTATGAGACGGCTAATATAATGTAGGCCACTTGGTCTACCTTAATGTTACCTCTGTTTTAATCTTTGGTTTTTTAAGGGCGATGTGGGACCTTTTAAGCAAGGTATTCTATTAAGAGTACCCATGGGATTGTGTGTTAATTTATGTGGTTTAAGATAAGACGTGGGAATCTATAGCATTTAATGTGTATTTTTTTTTTTTTTAATTTCTTTTTTATCTTAAAAAGTTTATATAAGGGTGAGGCACTAAACAATCAAATTAAGGTGCACCTCAAAAATCTAGAAAAATCTAGAAGAGGTTGTTTCGATGTTAAAAAATTCTCGACCTCAATATGTATGAACATGAGAAAAAATGAATTTCAAGTTTTGAAAATAGTGCATATTGTAATGCATTTTCTAGACGGTCAAATTTCAAGATTTTCAAGTCGCTCAATCTGTACTATTTTTGAAGCTTTAGACTATAATTAGATATGAAAATAAATTTTCAATCCGTCGCAAATCTTATATATGAAAGTGCGCCCTATTTTGATTGATTAGAGCCTCATCCTTATACGAACCACACCCTAAATCTTACATATTATCGCGCCTATTGGACACGGTTTCTAGGAATCTTGGGACTTGGATGACTTATATATATGTGGCATCTCTTTATGATGTATTTTTTAAATGAATTTTAGATCTGACTTTTTAGAGCATGTAATCTCTAACATGGAGATCATAATATTTGGAACAAATTAATATCTAAAAAAAAAATTAAATTAAATGATAAAAGCGTGGAGATCATGCTCATTTTATATATGAGCATGTTAATCTCAAGAGTGGATCTAAGAGTTACAACCCTTACTATGATCGTTATGCATGACATTAGATACAATTGGCATGATCATATTAACATTAATGGTTGCATTCACAGCTATATTCGTTGTGAAATCGAGTCCATTTCATTTGGTAGCAACAATTGTAATGACAATTATATATATAGTTACATCTGTAGTGAGGGGAAAAGTTATAATGATAATGGGAGTTCTAGTATAAAAACTATTAATACTAGTAGCAACAGATCTCATTATACAAGGGGAATATCTAATAATTTCAAGAAAAATACTTTGTCGATTTTGTGACAATGATGAGGTCATCTCGTACATAATGTTTTTGAAAGGTTCTTTTAAATCCTGATTTTTAAGGGAAAATAGAATAATTCACCTCTTTCTTAGACAAATTATCAAAATACCCACAAAAGATTAACAATTTAACGTATTCTATATATTATTTGATATATTTTTTTATTTTTTTTGAATAAAACATAGTCTTGAGTTAGAGTAGATCCACAAATTTAAATAGTTAAATAGTTTATTTTTATGAACATTTGGATCAATTTCCCTTAAAAAATTTGACTTCGCACTCCATAAATCTTTAACCAAAATCAGATTAATACCAAGTTTAATGCCAACAAATTTAGTGACATACGTGATAAAATACAAAATTAAACTATAGTACTATAGCACTAAAATTTAAAAGTAAATCTCTTGGGTACTACAGTACTATAAGCATGCTGAATTATTTATAAAGAAACTATTTATTTTTTGTACAAAAGGTCACAACTATTTCCGCTCATTAGATGGTCACGAAGTCCAAGACGTTTTTGTAAGAAACTTGTACTTAATCGAGATACTTTTACAACCACCCATTTTTAAATCCAAAGGGCATGAATGATTGACTCCTTGTACAAAAAGTAAATAGTCTATTGTGGACAATCCCTAAACATAAACCATCCAATTCTTTACTCCATAAATATAAATATTGTTAATAAAATAAGAGTAATGATACTATGAGACCCTCTCACACCTATAGTGTCATTACTCAAAAAATTACCATTTCCCTTATTTTGCTGAATTTACCCCATGGACTCGTTCTTTAAGAACAAACCCAATCTCCCCAATACGCACCAATCCACGAATTTCACTTTCTTTACTGAACTTCCACCACCTTCCATGATGTCGTTGTTTAAGAACAAATCCAATATAACATAAAATTTTTGAATAAAAAATTATAAATCTTCACCCAATTGATTTGATGGTGTCGAATCTCACCTATTTCTTGTAGTCAAGAGGACGACAAATTTTGTGGTATTTTATAATATCTCCAAATAAGATATCCCTAACTAGAGATATCTCTATGCTCAATATCTCTAAATAAGATATCCCCAACTTGAGATATCTCTATGCTTGGTAAAATATTACACAATCATGGAGATATTTTAACAAGGGTACAATTGGCATACGGATGCATGGAGATATTTTAACAAGGGTGCAATTGGCATACGGATGCATCCGTAGCTGTAGAGGTAAGGTGCACCTCCAAATATTTTATTTTTTATTTTTATTTTACAAATAATTTTGAAATAACATTTGGGGCATGTATAGATCTAACAAGGGCGCACACGATAAACATATTAAAAAAAGGGAAAAGTTTATATAGAGCCGAGGCTCAAATAAAGGCGCACATGATAAAAATATTAAAAAGAAGGGAAACGTATGTATAGAGCCGAGGCTCTAAGCAATAAAATTTGAGCCTACCTCAAAAACTTTACTAGAAGAGGTTGTTTTGATGCCCCAATATCTTCAAATTGATCATCTCGACATCAAGATATATGGACATGAGAAAAAAATAGATTTCAAGTTTTTGACGTTTGAACTTTATAAATAAATATAAAAATGTATTTTAAGGCTATCACAAAGATTTCCAATAGTAAAACCACATTTCTCAACACTATTTGAAGGTAGGCTCTAATTTCATTGCTTAAAGCCTGAGCTCTATACAAACCGAACCTTTAAAAAAATATTTCTGGTGATGAAAAATTACCAGAATATCCCTAAAAAGTATAGGGGCATTTTGGTAATCTATTTTTAAATAAATATTTTTTATTTTTTTAGGTTCGCTCAAATTTTTAATCCAAAAATATTTGGTAGAAAAAACATTCATGGAAGCACGCGTACACACATTGTGTTCCATCCATCCTGATTTAGAATTAGTAATCCTCCAACTGTCCAGATAAGATAGATCCCCAGAAGAAGAGATCGAAAATAACAACAAATATTAGAATAAAAATTAGGATGTAACCACTAAATACCACCATAAGATAATGTCATATCTCAGATTGGCACATTTGGGAGGACTGGAATTCATACAACAAAATAAATTGATTTGGGAGGACTGGAATTCATACAACAAAATAAATTGATTTGGGAGGACTGGAATTCATACAACAAAATAAATTGATTTGGGAGGACTGGAATTCATACAACAAAATAAATTGATTTGGGAGGACTGGAATTCATACAACAAAATAAATTGACATGATAAGAAGTCAAAGAACATGTGAAATAGACTGCTCCTTAAGGATCCATACCTCCATATCCGGAGGTGCATTGAAATTGTCAAAGTTTCATTAGCATCTCCATAACTTCATATCTGGAAGTGCATTGAAATTAATTGTCAAAGTAAGCACTCGTGTTATCTTTCCTGTGAGAATCTACACACTGCCCATGTTATCCTCCTCATCATCTTCTTCATCATCATCTTCTTCTTCTTCATCTTTAAGCATCCTACCATCATAGTAAACATTTGACGTGGTCAGGACCAAACAATTTTTGTATGTCACCCTCTAAGTAAGTTGTGAATGTAAGGGAAAAAATCCAATCTCTAAGTTGTTTAATGTATGGAAAATTGTTTCATGCTGGCGGGGATTGCATTTTTACATTTGCGGAATCCATCTTAAAGATGTATGGAAATAGGTGGTCCATTTAAAAACAATTGAAACTAAAGATCCAAATGTTTTCTTAATAGAATTATAATTTTTAATTTTAAAAATTTATTTATTTATTCATATTCATGATGCCCATGAGATTAAATGTCCTTAAAAATTAGGTCAAAAATATCCATATCAAAAATAGATTTTTTAAGAGGTGACTTATTTCTAAAAGGACTCATAAAAACAACATCCTTAATGTATAATATCTAAATAACTGAACCCCAGCGCGAAGCCTTTCAAGCAGGACAAGAGAAAATAAATAAAGACGGAATTTAGCGAGAAGGGGAGTAACAACAGAGTCAAATCACTTCTGCAAAAATCAACAATGGTAAATCTGA